TCGTACTTCTTTATTTCTTAAGGGATCAACTTAATACTTCAAATATATGATCTTTATCATAAATCACATGTTATGTGACAAGGTTCATGACTCTAGTACCAATATTGCAAGAATTATCTCCCTGTTAACTTAGATTTTTTTTATTTGAAAAAAATATGGTTTCCACTGATTATCTTGAAAACTAGTTATCACATAGTCTTCATATTTCGACATAACTAGTAGATGACCCCTATTGATTTTGGGGTCACTAGGTCAAAGGTCAAAGTCACATGGGCCTTAAAGGTCAAAATTGTTTCCTCTCATTATCTTGGTTACTATTTATTACAATCTTTTCATATTTTGCATACTGATTGGTGACAGTCATAACTAGTAGATGACTCTTTAGGTCACTAGGTCAAATGTCAAGGTCACAGGGGGCTTAAATGATAGAATGGTTTTGGCTCATTATATTGGTTACTATTTATCACAATGTCTTCATATTTCACATATGAATTGGTCATAACTAGTAGATGACCCCTATTGATTTTGGGGTCACTAGGTCAAGGTCACAGGGGCCTTAAAAAGTAGTATAGTTTCAGCTCATTATCTTGAAAGCTAGTTATCACAATGTTTTCCATTTTATATAGTGATTGGTCATAACTAGTAGATAACCCCTATTGATTTTGGGGTCATTAGTTCAAAGGTCAAGATAACACGGGCGTTTAATGTCAGAATAGATTCAGCTAAATATTATCTTGAAAACTATCACAAAGTCTTCATATTTCACATAGTAATTGGTCATACCTAGTAGATGACCCCTATTGATTTTGGGGTCACTAAGTCTAAGGTCATTGGGGCCTATAATGTTAGTATAGTTTCGGCTCATTATCGTGAAAACTAATTTATCACAAAGTCTTCATATTTCACATAGTATATGGTCTTAACTAGTAGGTGACCCCTATTGATTTTGGTGTCACTAGTTCAAAGGTCAAGGTCACCGGGATCTTTAATGTCAGAATGGTTTCTGCTTATTATCTTGAAAACTATTTATCACAAAGTCTTCATATTTTACATATTGATTGGTCATATCTATTAGATGACCCTATTGATTTTGGGGTAACTAGGTTTAATGTCAAGGTCACAGCCCACAGGTGTCTTTAATTTCAGAATGGTTTCCACTTATTATCTTGAAAACAATTTATCACAAAGTCTTCATATTTCACATATTGAATAGCCATTTGTAGCAGATGACCCCTATTGATTTTGAGATCACTAGTTCAAAGGTTAAGGTAACAGGGGCTTTAAATGTAAATATGGTTTCTGCTTATTACCTTGAAAACTTTTTATCACATAGTCTTCATATTAAATCAGGGGCGTAACTAGGCGTACTCCTGTACGCCCGTGCGTACAAATCAATCCTGTATTGAAAAAAATCACATGCACTAAAAGTTCTAAAAAAAGTGATAAAAACATAGGGGGTAGTGTGGTTGGGGCACATACAGGCCTTCTGACTCTTTCGACTTAATCATTATATAAATATTTCATAACATAATTATACAGTATAAATTAATATCTTTTAAAATGATCTATATATATAACTATTTATTGCGATATATTGTACAGATTCAACGCAGGAAAGTTATGAAAAGCCTAAGCTGTCTTGTTCAGAACCTATTTTTGGCCGAGATATTTCCCTAGCATTGGCTTGGTGGCCCGTTTTTGTGCAACGTACTTCTTATTCGGCGCGCAAGTCGCCCGCAATAATTTTTTCCCAAACTTTTTACTATTCCCGTATGGGCCTTTTGTGTCATCTTAGAACTGCTTTTGGTTGGGTGCCTTCTGGGTGCCCTGCTGGTGTGGCTGGATTGTGTAGGGGGCTGAGTTCTGCCAACGTAGCCTTGAATGTTTGATTTTTAATCTCATCTTTTAATCAGAAAACAAGTAACAAATTGGTGTAATTTCTCAGTGGCATATTAATCAATTGAGTGAGAGAATTACTTTGCCGTGCCAAAAAGGACAGTAAATAGCCAAAGAATGTACAATTCCTTCTCAATTTTATGCATTTATTTTAAAGAATAGTAATATTCTAAAATAAGTTGTTGAGATAAAATTTATCATTCTCTGTGGTCAGCAAAACATTGCGATGAGTCATCAAGCAAGATACATCATTATTAAAGTCGTACATGCATATATCTGCTTATGAATTCACTTTATCACAAAAGGTCTTAATGAGTCCTTTAATGTATTCACATGATCCACATAATCTATGTTATATGTAACAATTTTTAATTAATTTACTGACATTTCTGAAAGGAGATTTTGAAATATCTTTGCGTGTACAATATAACGTGTAATATAACGTGTAATATAACGCGTTTTTATATATACATTGTATTGTAATGTAATGAAATATTTAACAGTCCAAAACACTCACTGAACTTAATCACAATTTTCACACCATTATCGTTCTTAAATTAATATATTGTTACAACAGTTGCTACTTATGAAGGTGTGCAGAATGACAGTCTTTCCTCAGAGAGCATTGGGGCATTGTGTGAATATACTCATCTTTGTCGAGAGTCTCAGCGTTAGCTGTGGCTTATGTGATGGACTAACGTGAATTTGACAATTCCGTCCAGCGGACCCGGCTTTTCTAAAGAAAGCAAGGCTCTGTACCCAACAGGACATAAAATTAGTTCAATTAAAACAAACGCTTGCTTTAGTTTTCGACGTTTCTAGCGTTTTTTATTATTTAAAATTTACTGAATACGGGAGATTTGTTGCTATAACATCAGTTTGAAAGTCGCAAAATGACCATTTTTTTCTGCAAAAAAAAATCGATTTTAAATATATAAAAGTTCTATGGTACAGTATATTTAATGTACTTGTTCATTTTACCTATTTTAAAATTAAAAAAAGAGTTTGAAATCATTACCAATATGTTGTCAATATAGCCTCTAGATAGTCACAAAATGCCAGGATATCGCATCCTCTTTCAAAAAAAATTCTCGGGGGAGCATGCCCCCGAACCCCCCTAGTTAAGGAGTACATATCAAAATAGCTCAGTTACGCCCCTGTAAACATATTTATTAGTCGTAATGGTATGTATCTTTTTCTGTGGAAAATGAAGGAAATTGAATTAAAAGCATATACCAAATATTAAAACGTGTTTCAAATGAAAACTACTGCAGTTTACATGGTTTTGAAAGGTAGGAGGGTTGAAGAGTAGGTGAGGCCCGGCCCGGAGGAAGTGACCAATCAACGTGTTACGCGCCGAACACCTATGGCTATGATAGTCTATATGCCATCTAGAAAAAAATACGGTATCAATTAATAATAATAATGCATGGAACCTTACTACCATGTCATGACAGCATTTTTGTGATATTTGATAATATTTTGTGAAGTTGACACCCATGAGCGTGGTTTTAACAAACTATTGACGGTGTTTTACATTCTTTGGGTTTATTTATTCAATATGGCGTCTTTCTAATATTTTTGTTGGAAAGTAAACAATATTTTCTTATTCAAGAATTTTTAGTAATGTTTGGTAAAAAGAAGGGCGAAGCCCCTGCTCCACCTAGGAGAAAGGGAGCTGAGTTAATGTCACAGGTAATGTTTTATAATCAAACGCTGTTGGAGTCTGACTCATTTTCATATGCTTCGCCTTTGCACATTGAGTGGCAAACAGGACGTTTCGGCCCCAAACCAAATCGGCCCCAGTAGAAAAATCGGCCAGACGTTTCGGCCCTTTTCCGCGAGACGTTTCGGCCCTACTATATAGTACAGACAATTAATTAACAACAATTGATTTAATTACAATTAAACAATTATTACCTTTAATTCTTTAAATAATTATTCAGGCTGGGCACATCTCCCAATCGGGCTAAATTAGCTCAATCGGGGTAATTTAGCCCGATTGAGCTAAAATCCAATGAATGAAAATGATAAAATGTGTCGGAAATTTATGGAAGCGTATAAAATCGAGTATACTCGAACCCCATGATACCGGTGACTCCACGGTACCGGTATACTCACAAATCTCGCGATATTTTTGTCAACACCACCTACCGAGTGTTTATATTGACATGCTCCCAGTAATATTGGCTATTTCAAAGTTTTTAAACATTTTCATGAGTTTCTGAAGGAAATATTTCACATATCCTACCTTATTTTTATTTTACTATCCTATTTTTCCATTGCATAAATTAGTCTCTCTACAAAACACATTTTTTTTCCAAGAAAATAAAAAATGACAGGTGCTGACGTCATTCAACCTCCAGTACATGTCACTTGACCTTTTGACATCATTTTTGGCGGGAAAAAATTAATCTATGGAAAGCCATTAGTGCATATAAAACAGTTTATGAAAATTAAAAAGTCAGTTTCATTCAGTCTTTTAAGGGAGCCTGTGTAAAGTACCATATTGATATTTTATCTTCATCATATAGAAATAAAATTGATTCAATGATACAAAAGGACCAGACAATCACAACAACACTAAAATTAAGTGAAGGGGAATTTTTGAATCCAGCCACATGGTATAATATACACCTGTAATTGGGAGGAAAAGGTTCTAAAACAGAGATCCCTTGGGAGTCATTAAAGATGAACAGTAAACTATTGAAACACACGTTTTTATGTTGTTTTAACGCGGTTTTTTTTTCAGATATGAATACAAGAATGCTAAAATGATATTTTTGCTATTAAAACTGCAATGGCTTTCCATAAAAATAACATTTTTACCAGTGCACCGGTAGCACGAAGTCTGTTTAACTACGTCATACAAAATGGTCGACCATTGTTTACATTCACAATGAGCGAGAATTTCAGAGTAACAGAACTCTGTAATGTAATTTTAAGAGGATTAGTTGTTAATGAAGTTGTTTATTCCTTCTTTTTTTCAAGTCAATAATTTTTTATATGAAAAACACCTTGTATAAAATATGTACACCGGTATCGTGGAGACCCGGGCTACTCTCCCTTGTCTCGATGTGATCCAGTTTCTACAATAACACATCTGATACTTTAAAATATGCTGTACTCGCTTGATCTTATTGCGCAATTTGGTGTAAAAAATACCGAATTTTGAAAATTGGATCAACATATACCCAAATCTGTTATATTAACTCCAATACTGTACAAAATTCTTCGCCAATTCAACGCAGCTTCATCATCGACGCCATCTTGGAAAGATTGATTAAAATCCGTCATGCACGAAACACTTTAATCTATTGTTTTTCATTAATTGATATAGGGTGTGTGCATATTTTAGATACATCATAATTATTTTTGATACATGTAAAATGAATTAAAAATAATAATATCTATATATATGTTTATAAAATATACCACGTGACTTTTTTGCACGAGTTTTTCGGTTTGAGGTCATATTGAGTTCGTATGCAGTGAAGACTAGAGATGTCGGTAAGTTTATATGAACACGTGTATATTGTGATTATTCGTATTCATTCTCTGAACTTTCTGCAGATTCTGAAATGATATATTTGTAAAGCATCAATAATAATTGAATAATTTTGGTTTCAGTAATTGTTAATTTACTTCAATATTATAATTTACATACTGGTATCATATGTTTGAACTTAAACTTTGTTTTCCCAGGGAAAAATAACAAAGGGTAACAACCCCGGAAAAAATGTAAAAAATCAGCCATGTAGGGCAAAGGTTCATCACAGTGGTCCAATTGATACTACTTACATCAAAGACAGTGTCGCCCGGTCGAAGGCAGTGTCTAAAAGAAGACCGACAATAATAAAGAAAGTAAGATTCATTTAATTTATGTATGTTACCTTCTTCGCATGCATTGTGTTCTGATAAACAATCATCAAGTGCCGATACCAGTTCTTTGTAAAAGTCAATCATTTCATCTTTTCGGGAAACTATAAATAAAAATAAAATTATAAATTAAAAGGTATATTTTGTTATTATATTGTTTATCTTAGATGAAAGAGATGCACAGTGCAACAGGAACCAAGTGGTGGGCTAGTTGGGAAACAGAAAGCGGACAAAAGGGGACATTTACAACAGAAGAAGGAAATAATGGTTTGTGAAGAGTTTTTATATTAATTTAGGCAATGTTCCAATAATTGCTTAACACGCAAAAACACCTTTTAAAAATAGACTACTTTTTATCTACCTTTATTCAATTAAAATGATTAAAATTATGTATTTTTTTAATTGTTATATTTTGCTAGACGAAGAAGTTAGCCCTGGGACAAGTTCTACCAACATGATTGACCTAGAAAGAACAGTGGAGGTCACTTACCCTGCAACGGCTAAAGATGATGAGGAGGAAGAAAGGCAGCAGCCAAGGAGAAAGAAGGCAAAAGTGTCCAATTGTGAGATTTGTGGGAAAGAGCACGTGGGGAAAAGTAAAAAGGGAAAGGAAAGGAAAGTGTGTAATTGGCTGAAATGTGAAGTATTAGAATGTAATTATTGGGTACATGCACTGTGTGTAGGTTTCGTATATAAAAAAGACTCGGATGTGAAAAATGTGCAATATTATTGTCCGAACCACATTAAAAGATTCATTTGACAAATTGTCCTTTTCTTTCATTTTTTATGTACAATTTTGGCGTTTGGACTTTCTTTATGATTTTTTTTAAATATATATGTTAGTGTTTAACTTTCAATTTTTGCCATCTTTCCTCATATGCCAATGCTTCATAAACATTTCCAGTTTCTTTAATTTCCGATATTGTACATTCAATTAATATCGTTATCTGTTCTTTGGTTTTCCTTGTAATGTCATTAAATTTGGCCCGATTTTGAACAGTTATAAAAACTGGTTCCATTGAATAATTTCTCTTTGGAATAACACCACTTGAAACATTTTCAAGATATTTATCCATATTTCTTTGACATTTATTTTAAAAAAAAAAAAAGTTCTTCGTCAAGTTCATCCCCAGATAATGACACATGTTTACTAAAATAATTCATAATTTATTTATGATGTTAAATTGTATTTATAATCTGGGCAGCATTTATCAATACATTTATTTGTTTATCAATATATACTATTTGGTATAGTATTATCAAATGTGTACAGTTTTTAACATATTTTGAAATTGAACATACAATTAAAATAAATAAACTTTAAATAGAAGAATGGCACCCATACTTAAATTTGTAGTTCTGCATTGAAAAATAATCACGTCTTCTCAAATAAGTTCTCCACTCTAAAATTTCAGATCTGACGTCCCTTTGATATAAGTTGTCACGGCTGTTTTCTCTTATGTTAAGTGCTTGATATAAAGTTTGTTTTATCTACATAATAAATATAAATATGTTTCAAATGCGGACATGTCACTTTAAATATAGTACTAATTCAAAAATGACTGGCAATGCATTGTTATGATTGTTTAAAGAACTCATTTTTTAAATATATTAATGATGCTTATAATAATATTTTCGTGAAAAATATTTCAATAATAATGTTTCAACATTAAATAAATTTTCATTTGCAAATTATATGGAACATCATTATAACATCATAACATAATTTTATGAACAACTTACCTTGTCTAGTGTATTCATATTTCTACACACTTTTAGCCAATGTTTGTCTGTTGGAATACCCGGAGGAAGCCATCTTTTAGTTTTACCGTTGATATTTTCTAATACGAAATCACCTCCTTCACCTTTGTTGTCATTTCCACTTACTGTAAAACTTTCATTTTCTTTTATTAATTCAGAAATTTCTTTTGGGGCTAAAGCACGGACTTTAATATCTCTGTACATTAATTCTTGATAATTGGTCATATTTGTGATGAAAAATAATTTCATAAAAACTGATCGTGCAGCCATTACACATTCACTATTGTTTCGTCTAATACCAGAGCGAAATAAGTAAATAGAAAAAACATAATCGAATAAAGTGTCACATAGATATCGAATATTTGGTCCGGAATTGGATATAAAGCTGTAAAATTCATTGACTGATATATCTATTTTTTTATTTAACTAATTTGATTTAATAGTTTCCGATAACTTGTTTCTAGGTCGAGTGGGGTTCATTTAACACCGCATTTTCCTTGTTGATATTGTTTTTCACATTTCAAGTATTCAATTAATGCTTTCTTAGATAATCTATCATTTTCAATAATTCATTTGCATGCACCATAATGGTTTTATGAAATAAGAAACTATGACCGGAGATTAATTAAATAACAAAATAAGTATTTTCATGTAAAGAAATGCAAGAAGAACATAATTAAGTTACAATATGAAATAATTATCGAAAATGGAATATGTGTTACTAGCTTATTAATTGTGACACATCTCATGACTCAATTTAACAATGTTTTTTTGATGAAAATAAAATAAGCTTAACTTACTTCAGATACTGTAAGTATAATATGGGAGGTATATATCCTTTACTAGCTTCAAATACTTCTACTACTTCATATAAATGGGATGTATATACATACATAGATAAAGAGACAGACAGACAGAGGGAAATACATACATATATCCTCTACGAGCGACTTTCAAGTGTAAACATGCAAAGACACAAGGTAATTATAAAGAAAAAAACACGCTTTTCACGAATTTTTCATTTATTTTCATGTACAATATAATATATGATATAACATTAGTTTACAATTTACATGCAGATACTTGTAAGACCAGTTTTAGTACGTTTATTGAAAGCAAATGTTATCACATTCACTAGAGTGCATCGATTATGCAAAGCATTTTAACACTTCCGTTAATAAATATGAACTATTTTATTTCACTTTCCACATATATAATATTTATAACACACCCTGTATATATTTTGGTTAATTAATGAAAAACAATAGATAAAAGGGTTTCGTGCATGACGGATTTTAATCAATCTTTCCAAGATGGCGTCGATGATGAAGCTGCGTTGAATTGGCGAAGAATTTTGTACAGTATTGGAGTTAATATAACAGATTTGGGTATATGTTGATCCAATTTTCAAAATTCGGTATTTTTTACACCAAATTTGCCGCAATAAGATCAAGCGAGTACAGCATATTTTAAAGTATCAGATGTGTTATTGTAGAAACTGGATCACATCGAGACAAGGGAGAGTACCTT